TTAGCACTCTTGGTTGTGGTTGAGTTGAAAATTATACGGAAGAAAAAACAAGATAATAATATGCACCCGACCGAAAACTGAATTACAACATAAACACAATCAACTTACCAAGGAGGAGCTCCAAACAATCAGGCAACAGAACATCGGCTGCTATGGCCTCAACTCAGACATGTCAAGTTTGACCCTCAGTTATCATCATTGAAGAGTTTCACAGCTGATGTAGTCTAACCCACCAGTTGAACAAAAGGAAAGGGAGAGCCATTGGCTGCTATGGCCTTCCTGACCCTGCTCTGGGCTTCTACATAGCCTCTGCAATGGCTGAAACTGCTTGATCCTGTCCTCCAATTCATTGATACAGCCTATTGGCAAGAGCAACCAATCTCTCATTCTTGCCAAGCTTAAAAACAGGTATACTAGTAGACAATCACATTCCTTCTGTATTTGATCCAGTCCAAATTCTGTTAAAGCATTTAATTCTCACCTGCTCTTGGTTCGAGCTTTGGAATGAGCTTTTCCATGTCCTAAATAGCTCCATATTTGTAGCCAGCAGCTCTAACAAGATCATATCTCCTTTCAGATTCCAGTAAAGCCCACGGAATCTCACCCCACTTTTGCTCAGTTTCTGACCAGCAATTCTTTCCCCTTCTTAAAGCCCATCATCAAGGGACGATGTATCCCCGGCAGATCATCAAGGTTCTTCCGTCTTATCCTTATCTAAAACAATGCTGCATCTGTCCAACTGTACCACTCTTATACATAACAACCCAATAATTGTTACTGAAAAACACTCACTTTAACATAGAAAGCTTTGCTAGCTCTCCCTTTTGTCAAAGCCAAAGAGTTTGACCCCCAGCTGAACTCTCTTCCTTTATAAATTATTTGTTTATTTTGGTAGACTGTCAATTTCAACTCTTGTACTTGCACAAGCCTCATCTATAAGTCAATTACCTGAAATAAAAAAATCAACATGTCAGCCGATTCTGAGCTTTATCAAGAAAATAGCTCCAACAGTCACTGAAAACGTACTACTAATGCTGATTATTTAGAATGCATGTCCTGTGGGTGAACTTGCCTGGATTCGTTCTCTGAATTACTTCCTATGATAGACTGTCACAAGAAAGTAAAATGGGATATCCAATTTGCAATAACGTGATACTCAATTACATAGAGAATATCAGCAACAATCTGGAACATGCAATCATCGAGGCTTGTCTTGAATAATCAGAAAACAATAATCACATCGTACCTTTTATTTTCATCTTCCGTCCTGCAGATGTCGGATTCTAAAGGCTATAAGTAACAGCAATATGGAAAAAAAAATGATTTATTAGCATTTTATACGAAATCAAATCCAATATCACGTAATATTGAGTTCTAAAGGCACTAAAACATAATAATAATAATAATAATAATAATGGTCTTCGAACATACTCTAAAAATGAGAGCCAATTCACGAAATCAATCAAAAACAGCTGCTGTGCCATGATGAATTAGCACTGAAAACCAGGGGCGGAGCCAAGGTTTATATCCAGTGCGGGCACAATTTTATATATCGACTACAGCCTACAGGGATTTTTTTAGTCCGCTTTTTAGTCCTTACTTCTCTAGCTGTTGTTACTGTTTCTCACTCTAGTTCCCACTTCTACTAATGGCAGTGCCAATCAAAGTAGCCGAAAGAGTCATCAATTATTAGAAATTCATAATACGGGGCCACAATTTCAGCAAGAATCATCCGTAAATATTAAAATACCAAGCCTCCAAAAATTTACAGATAAGAAAATCATCCGAAAAATTTCACAAAATCAATGTCCAGTGACTTAAATCTCCATATTCTACAATGACTACAAGAAATCATAAATTATAAACCTCAGCAAGCTCGCAATCATAAAGCATAAATCAAAATCATAAATTATTCCCCAATAAAAATGGCATAAAAAATGAACTAAAAAAAAAATAGATAGATAGAGAGGCTTACAACAGCAGCGGCGAAGGGCGGAGGACTGGTTTCGGCGACTCAGCGGCAGCAAGTAAAACTCACAATGTTGAAGAAAGCTTGGTGTTGTCGAATCGATGGCCTCAAGGCCCGTAGCGGGAGAGAGAGACACAGGGATATGGTTGATTTGGTTTCTGGGTAATAATTTCACGGCCAAACAAGGATATGATATGAATATGGAGCTCATTTAAAAAAAAAAAAAGGCCCAACAAAAAAGGCCTACAGGCTAGAAAAAAAATTTAAAAATTGACCCAAAAATTCATCTACCCTTCTTCTTCCAGGCTTTCACTCTGCGTTTGTGTTTATGGAGACTGCAACAATGGTGATTTTGGGCTACTGGCTACATCCAATCTTATTCTAGTAGCACGCGAGGCAGCGACACTTCGCTGGCCAAAATTCCCAGTGCAGGCACTGCCTTCAACTCCAGCTGATAATTCCAGTGCGGGTCCAGCGCTGGTCCTTAACTGGCTTCGCCCTACATATGCCTCATTTGGTTTATCTTCTTCCAAGGCTTTGAGAGCTGGGGCGGTCCAATGCGGAAATTTGCCCACACTGGACTGTGAATGGCTCCGCCCCTGCTGAAAATCGTGACCAATTGGAGATCAAACTAAGAAAGAAACAAATATTCAAACTTTAGAAGAATTTAGTGACTAAAAATCACGTAATAGCAAATGGGTAAAAAACGTATACCTTCACGACAAGACTGTAAATCACTCGTCATTCATCTCTTCTAGCCTTCGATTGATAGCGGAGAAACTGTGTTGTTAACATCATAGTTATTACAATCGACTTGGCTATTCAGCAAGGTAATGTCACTCGCTGAAGGAGAGGATCCTAACCTTTTGTATTAAATTAAAAATAATAATAAAGAAAATAAAGAAAACAAAAGGAAAAAGGATTCTCCTTCTCCCACCGGCCACCCCAACACAAAATCTCCACTGGCCGCCATTGAGACCTCCTTTACAAAAACTCCGCCCAGCCACATCTTGAAACACCCACCCACCAATTTTCGGTCATTGCCTAACCTGCATTTTAACATAACTCTCCTGGTGGGTGCCACCATCACATACTTCCCACACTTCCTCTCTCAACCTACAGCTGTCCCTTCAAAATTGAGAATCGGTTAATGGATAGAGAATTTTCATCCAAAGCTCTTTTTTAATCACTTCAATAGCCAAAACTAGATTAACGGGAAATGATTTGAAATCCAAGTATATACACACCAGTACAATGTATATAGTGGAGTAAAAAGTTTCAACAATCACTGAACTTAGTATAATGTCATGCTGTGGTCACTGAGCTTCCGTTTGCTTCTCAACGGTCACTGAACTTACAAACACACCACTCCATCCATCACTCACTGCCCCAACCTTTTGAACTCGTCTCACGTGGCTTGATGGTAAGTGACGTGGCTGTTGACGGCGTCAAACTCGACCGCAGTGGACACAATTTCACAGCTAAAACATGATCCTTCACCATTTCCCAATCCACGATCTCTCATCCCTAATTCGTGTTGGGAATCTACTTATACATGCACAACGAAATTTAAAATAATTTTCGATTCCCACCAGGAATCGCCTTTGTGTTTAGATAGAAATTGTGATAAGATTGTACCTTTTCAGATCTGCAAACTTTTTTGCTATTCTTTTCGTTCCAGCAATCCTGATTCGCCATCCACAGCTGTCCAATTGTCCAGCCTCCAACGGTAATCCACACAGAGAACAAGATTGCAGCTTCTAGAGTTTTCTCTTGTGCCAGCAAGAATAATGAAAATCATATGGACCTCAAACCTTAACCATGTATTTATATAAACCCAAACGGTCTCGGTCCGATCCAATCCAATATTTAATCAATCCAATTAATTAAACCCGATCCGTGAATTAATTAATCCAATTAATTAATTCGAGAATATAAATAACAAATCCAATTAATTAATTTATCCAACGATTGTTAAATTAACCAATTGGCAATTTTGCAATCTTCCAATTCTCTTTTGTGTGCGACCCATTAGGTTCCCGACCACGATACCTAACGACATGAAATATTATTTTGATCTAATCAAAATTGATAAATTAAAATACCCTTTTAATTTATTGTCAATTCACACTCGCCGTCCCTGATTGACATCTAACAATGTGTCAGGGCAATACATGTGACGGGAAATGTCACGTGGTATGACAAAATCAAATTCGTTCGTTTACCGTGAAACTATAATCCCTTTGTCAATATGATCCGATCAATTACGAGATATGGAATTGTGTCAATCTCGATCATCGATCATATCTTTCACTCTACTGTTAAGTCAATATAAGTCGAAAACTCATTTTCGACTTATGAGTACACCTTGGCCAATGATTTCATCATCGACTTAATTGAATGAAACGCAGATCATAATCTCCTACTATCTAAGAGTGAAGAATCCTTTATTGATCAATCACAACCTTCAAACGATTCTTGACGTACCCGAACGATGTTGTATTAGCGGCCCTTTTCAGAGCAACATTCAACACCGCCAAAGTATGACTGTCCTCATATAAGGTACCATGACAATCTCAAGTCAAAGGATCAATTCCACTACCGAACGTTAGAGATTAACCACTGACACTCAGATAGTTATCCATGTGGAATCTCTCGACGGGTCTCTAATGTTTTGTTCTATAAGAAAACATCCACGTGTTCATTTAAGTATCACCACACTTTAACTTGTGAGATCAGTTACTTACTTCACAAGTAAGAAATGCCACACGTGATAGTCTATCCGTAATAACGATATCCGTATCTCGTTATTACTTACGACCACGGATGATTTAAGATTCAATAAGATGTAATTTGTATCTCACAATCACAACTCCTTGTGATTAACAAATTACAAATATTTGAATCTACGGACTCTATTATTTATTTAATTGTCTATTAATTAAATAATAGATCTGCCATTTAATTGCATTAATTATATATAAAAATATTTATGTGCAAAATTGATTGGACCTAGGCCATAATACTTACAATTCGAACACCCAGCCCTAGATCGATTTTCTTCCAAATCCTCCCCCAAATCCATTCTTTAACATCTGGCGAAATTGGCAGATCTTTTTTGCCTTCATAGCAACACCGGACGTTGGTCGTTTCTTCATCTTCACCCTCATAGCAACACCAAACTAACGGTAGGTGAAGGTTTTCAAAAGGTTATAATGGTTTCATACCTGGTTTGAGAACGAACAATTTCTTAGTCTGTAGCCCTAATGTTTTCATTGTCTTTCGATCTTCCTTTACATTTCAGAAATGTACAAAAATTCAAAAGCAGCATGAATTTTTTTTTTTTTTGCTGCTCAAGCAACGAAATCCAGTAACAGCTTTGTGTAATACATTAATTTTTGAATGAGATTTAGGGCAACCTCCAACCTATGTTTTGAATGTAATTTACTGCATTGAAAAATTCATAATTCTGGCTAGGTTAACTATCATATTTGTTTAGTACTAATGTAACCGTGGCTGTCAATAATTTTTTTTTCCATAATTCTGCATTTAGTATTGGAATTTAATTTGATTGAAATGATGGGGGGGGGTGTTAAAGTTGATGGGGATTATGAACATGTTATTACAAAATTTCATGATATTTTCAAGATATCAAATAAGAAAGACGAAGTTGATGTATTTTATACAATTAAAGTTGAGAAATGTGTTTGCATTTGTGCTGTGTAATGACTAATGAGAAGTGGGTATCTTTTCTTAGCTCAACTTCAATTCTGAGGTAGAAGAAAGCTATATGGGTTAATTGTGTACATTATAGGCTATTCGTATGTACAGATGAAAATTCCTCCATAATACTCTTGTTAGCAGTAAGATACTTGGTATAGAGATTGATTAATGTACTTGAAAACTCATGTTCTGTTTTTGATTCAGATGGATCCTTCGGATAGGGAGTTGGTGTTGGAATAATGTACATGATGTCAAGTGGAAAGGCTGAAATCAGCAGGTTGACCTCGGCAATGGACGAGACTACAAAGGCTGTTCAAGAATTAAAAGCTGAAATATCTAGAAGAAAAGCTTCCTGTCATCTGCACCATTCAATTTCTCAGAACGAAGCTTCAACAAATAAAATGCACACTGATGGAAGTTACGGTAGACAACTATTGACTAACAACATGGATAACATCAAAGCTTATACTCTAACTGCCAAAGGTGAAGGTGTAAGTGTGGATCTAACGAAAGACCAGCAGCTCGAGGCGGTAGAAATAGATCAAGCATGCAAGCTTGTTGTATGCTAATTGACATTTGTTTTAGTAGTCCACTTTGCTTGTAATGAAGTTTTTATATATGTTGAAATGTTTCTAATGATCTTATGGTGTCTTTGAAAGGAAAGATTGTGTTGTCCATTTGTGCGCATAGTGATTTCAAAATGTGGAATTGTTTCTAATGATGTTATATATTTATTTTTGTGTTTTCGAGAAGATGAATTTCCTCCAATTCTTGTTCTTGTATTTTCGTTATCTACACTTCTTTCACCTTTAGTTATCTTATTTCTTTGTAATGAGGCAAGCCCTGACTCTTTGAGTTGCTTTTTCTTGAGCCTGATATGACAGGACAATAAGAGATTACAAGTTAAAGACGGTGCAGGACTCCAGCACAACATTTTTATTATTATTAATGGATGTTATGGAATGAGATTTTTTTGCTATTCAAATACAACAGAAACTCGTTCAACTTCAATTAAGATTTCGTCAAGGAGACGTTCATGCACAACTTCACATAATTATGTTCAATCTCAAATCAAACAAGTCTTTGCAAGCATAACAAAATCAAAATAGAAGCCACAAAAAAGGAACTTAGTCAATGGAAAAACAAATCAGCATTCAAAGTGAGTGTTCGCCTAAAAACTTTAGTTGTTTGACATCTGAAAACACCATAAAAAATACATGTACATTACTTTGACACTACAAAGTTATCAACACCCTTATCCACAAAAACATTAACACCCTTTTTCACAATCTTCATCAGTATCGATGTCCCTTGTAGGTAACGCCCGTCCATGTGCGAGAAGAGGGACCAGCTGTCGTAGTATTTGAAGTATTGTAGTAGCACCACACATTGGACAGCATATTGTTCATGCCTCAAGACGAGACCCCAACAACTTCTCCCCACAGTGTCTACATATATCTTTCCTAAGCTTCCTTGATTCTATATCCCTTGTTTTTGCCTTACTACTTGGAATTGAAATGCAACATGAAGCTTAATACAACGTAATGTGATCACTTGGTAGATTTCTTTTATAAGCTAAGTTTGGAAACTTTTTGTTGCTTCGTCCATGCCTCAATGTCATTGAACTCACCCAAATCCTCCACATTCTGGAACCCAACAGTTTTCCTATATGCAAAATGCCACTGTTTTGCAATCAGAGTCTATTAAAAAAAGTAGGGGAAAAAAGAAAAGAAAAAGTGATTAAAATCAAAATCTTTAGGACTACAAAATCTTACCGCATCTTTTATTGATTTTGATACAAAAATCAGCCTCTTCGAATCATTATGTTCGACACCACATAATATCCTAATCTGCATAAAAATTTGTCACCATTCAGGAACACAATTTAACAAGACATTCTAATTTTGTAACCATAATACTTTTACTAATAATGCTGATAATCATCAAACTAATATCATCCGCAACGCTAATTCAATAATTTCCGATCACAACTATGACCATCAGTTCATTTTCAGCCTCCTCAAACAAAATTAAACAATGACCACCATATCATTTTGAGCATGTTGTAACAAGAATTAATGCTTATGGGATGCGTCCTCAAACAAAATTAAACAATGTCCAATTTCAAAAATGCTCACAGGATGAACCCAAGTTCAAAATTGAAAATTAAAAGCGCTTTCAATGAGAAATTATTGAAACAATTTGAACGAAGGAAAATTTCACAATTCTCTTCGATTTTGTGCAGTTAGCAAATTTGAACAAAAATCTGATCATTCAACAGTGTCAATTACATATTCTTCACACAAGTAAATGAGAATTTAGAAGATTACCTTCACCGTTCGCAGTTGGTTGGGCTCCTCTGGTTTCCTTCTTCGAGTTTTTAACGTTTAGGTAACTGGACGTGGGTTCAGATTTTATCGGTTGATAATCATCTGCAGCTGGGGATGGTGTACATTGGAAGACGAAGAACTTCTGGCAAGTGACTCTATGTTCGATCCAGGATTTTGAATTGGGGGAGATTGAATTAGGGTTCATGGGAGAGTGAATTAGGGAAATTGGTTTTCAATTTTGAATGGGTTAGAGTTGTGTAATCTTAAACAAGTCCATCGTGTATCACTTTTGACGTCGTTGAATGCAACATGGAATTCCGTCAAGGCCAGATCAGACAATTTCAAACGACTTTGTGGTGAGTGATGGATGGAGTGGTGTTTGTAAGTTCAGTGACCGTTGAGCAGCAAACGGAAGTTCAGTGACCACAACGTGACATTATAGCAGCAAACGGAAGTTCAGTGATTGTTGAAACTTTTTACTCGTATATAGTGGCGACAGAGAGGGACGGGAAGAGGCGAGTTGGGGGCAGAAGGAGGGTGGGGGAATTAATTGCTCCAATGGTCACAAACCTAGGTTATGTCTTTTATTGATCACTTAAGTTTAAAATATCAAGTTTTGATCACTAAACTTAGATTCATATGTTTCATTGCTCACTGAAATTTAAAATGTCGAATTTTAACTACTGAGTTTTGAAAAATATTGTATTTTACTCACTATTATAAATATTGAACTTTGAAAAATGTCGAATTTACGAGAGTAATATACAATATTTTTCAAAATTTAGTAGTCAAAATTTAATATTTTAAACTTTAGTAAGCAATCGAAAATATGAACCTAAATTCAATTACCAAAATTTGATATTTTAAATTTCAATAACCAATCAAAAACATTGACCTAAATCCAACGACGATTGAAACAATTAACTCAACGACTAGGGGTGTGGGTTGTAAATTTTGAATCTTTGGTGTCTTAGGGCCTACTTGCAATTTTCTGTACGGGAATATTTTCCTAGATATCACAAAATTTCAAAATACATCAAAAGTAGTTAGACAGTGTTTGATTCACTTCCAATTTTAGGGAAAATGAAAAATGTTTTCCATTTTTCACTTTTGTTGGTGTTTGATAGGCATTTATTTCTTGGCATTTGGATTTTCAGGTTTGCTTCACATGGTGACCATTTCCAGCTTTTCATTGAATTTGTTTTCCCACCTATATGGTGGGAAATGGAATTCTAGATTTTCGGTTTTTTTTTTTTTTTATGGAAACAAATTCTATCTCTAATTGTAAAAAAATATTTTTCTTTAATTGATAATTTTTATATAAAATGAAGTCAAACGAATACAAAAAAATTGATGATTTTCTTATTTATTTATTTTTTTAATTATGAATTGAGACAAATTCTATCCCCAATGTCAGTAAATTTTATCTCTTTAATTGACAATTTTCATATAAAACAAAGCTAAACGAACACTAAAAATACCTTTATTTCAACATTTTTCATTTGAAAATTATACCAATCAAACACAATTAATTGAAAATTTTCAGGAAAATAATTTCTAGACAATTCAATTTCCTGAAATTCTTTTTTTTTTTTTACTCAAATTTTATTTTCGCAATCAAACGGATCCTTACTTTTACAAATGGCATTAAAAAAATGTGTGAAATGTTTAAATCATTCTTAAATATGTCTTTTTGGGATTCATGCTTGTATTTAATGCTCATTAATGACATGGTGTGATGTTTTGAGTTGTGTATTAAAAATTATTGGATATATGTATATTGCATTGAATTGTTAAGCCAAAAGAAGAGAGAGAGCAACAACAAAAAATTCTTATGAAAGTATAAATTGATTTTCATGCACAAAAAGTTTCAACTTTCTTCACATATTCTCCATTCTAACAACAAAAAGAAATTATGAGTAGCTTCATTTTGCATTTTGAGAAGTTGACATTTACAAATTGTTTATATTTTTATCTTATAATTTATTGTTTTTGAACTACTAAATACAACATGATCATATGTATTTGAAATTTTCCAAATTATTATTCATTAATTCGGTTTGGCTCTTGGAATCATTCTGAATAAAGATATAAATACTTAGCACCCATTTTTACGTCATTTGTAAAATATTTTTGACTGTTAACACAGTAATTGGAGCAGTCAAAATTTCTGCCGCCTTACACATGAATGACAAAAGTTGTACCTTTTTATTTATTTAGCCTTCTCCTTTACCTATTTCACCCATAACACTCAAGCCCATTTTGCCTTGAAATTTGACAAATGGGGGTAGAAATGTAAAAGGATGAATAAAGAATAAACTCACTCATTCACATGCTACAACGTATGCCCCACCTGGTGTGATGGAAAAAAATGAATTCTAGCAGAATAATAGCGTCCAAACATAGGCTTAATATTGTGAAGAATGTGTTTCAATCCCACTCATTAAATGCTTTTCGCCAGTTCCGACAGTTAAGTTGTCAAAACAAGCTGTCAAATTCAATATTTTCAAAATGTCAGGACAAACATTTCAATTGTCAATTTCACTTGTCTGCTATTGTTTAGATTTAAATATTCGAATGTGTTACTTTCATGCTATTAAATGTTGACATATTAATTATACTTGATGCTTATCATTGCAATCTTAACTTTTCATATTGATTTCCCATGGTAAATATAAAAGCAAAGACATTATTGGCAATCCCACGAAATCAACGGTTGAAGTTCATGAAACAAATTAATAGCCACAATGTATGAATTTGAGCAATGTTCCATTTACATATTCAACATCAACATCTAAATATTTGAGCCATTACGAAGCTACAAATTTTGGCATGCGTTTAAACTAATATAAATTCACAAACATTAAGGCGGGATCTCTAGAAGGATTAATCTCCAATAATAGGGACCCCAACTCAAACCTGCAGCAAAATCCAATTATTTTACATTAACATAGAATGATGGCGAAAAATAAACTCACTTCATACTCATGAATAATAAACCCTCTAGCGAAAAATAAACCCACCTCAAGCTCATTAAGATACTATTTTTACATTAACATAGGATGTATTTTACATTACATTAAACCCACTTCACACTCATGAAAACGAAGAACAAATAATATTAAATTTCACGTGGAGAATGAAAATGGACTATCGGATTGAAAAAATAGTTGACGGCTTCATTTCATTTAAAAAAAATATCTTTTATTCGTGTTGAGAACAAATAAATTATTGAAATAAAAATTTCAAAAATCAATTCCAGAAATAGAATTTTTGAATTTTCTCATACACCAAAAGAAAATGAGAAAATGGCAAGTAAATTTGTTTTAAATTTGTCCAAATATCTTTGAACATCCTGAAAATTGAAAAGGAATTCTTAAATATTAAATTTATTTATTCATTTCTTATATCCCACATTTTTCTAATAAACATTTCCAAAAATGCAAAAAGAAAAAAAAAATTTCAACAAAAAAAAATAATAAATAAAATAATAGAGAGAATCCAAACCTAAAAAGGAAAATCTTGATTGTTGGGAAGAAAAATATCTCCAAAAAATGTCAAAAGTGAGAGTTCTCACACAAATTCTTCAGAATGGTACGAAAGCTTTCTTTCAATCTTTGGGAATTAGTTTGAATATTGTTTTTTGGTTAGGTTTAGAAAGTGGGAATGATGGGATGTGGTTTAGGTGGGTTTAATGGGATGTTTTGTGTATTATTTTGTACAATTTTTGTAATCTAATTTATTGGCAAGAGATGTCACCAACTCAACCTCAACTTCAGGCACCGTGAGAAGAAGTTGAGGATTATCTTGTTGGCCGTCCCTTTATTAATATGTTTAAGCCCTTGTTTGAGCCCAATTTTTTTGAAAAAAATATATTTTTCAACAGTGTTTTTATATCATTTCAATTACACATTCTTCAATAAAATAATATTATACGTAAATTCAAAATTTTTCATTATTTTTTAACCACATACTTTCTATCGATATACTATTCAAAAATTTATTCTATCCCCAAAAATGGGGCTCAAACAAGGGCTAAATATCTATAATTTTGAAGTTGAAAAAATTTATAAGACCGAGAGATCTTTTGATTTTTTATATGTTCAATTTTGTTTCGCTAATTTTTTGATAATTTAAAATTGAATAGAAATGTCAAAATATTAGTGAAAGACAATTATCGAGATAACGATAATAGGACAACAAATCTCCACTCATATTGAGCTGATGAAGAATCAATTTCTGAGGAAAATTGTCTTCTTTATCAGCAAGGCCATGTTAAGATGTCACTGATTTTGATTTACTTCTCTAACTAAAAAATTACTGTAAAGTACCAAAACTCTTAATTATTTTCCAATTAAGTGGTTAATATTTTAGTCCACAATGCGACTAATGAACATTTGGGACCAGTTGACGGCTAAAGTTAGGTGCTTTCTAATCAAATATCATAAAATAATATATAATATGCTTATCTATTTAAAATAATATATTTATTTTGCTACATTGAGCATAATCAAACACCTCATTTGCCCTCTCTCCGAAATGAAGAGTTCCTTAAGCCAGCCATAGATAAATTTGAATCACTGAAATCACGAAACCTAAACATCTGAAGTGTAAGAGAAAAACAAAATGAATGTAAAGCACTAAGACATCACCATTCATGTGGCTCGAAGTTCACGATATGATTCATGCATCTAGAACCATCGTACCGAAACTTTTCTCTGAATGAAGAGGCTAGATTTTCTTAACTAATCTAAAAATCTAGCCAATTTGCAGGATCAACAAGTCGATTTTCAAGTTATTTGACCAGTTTTTTATTTCCTGTTCTTTACCTATGATAGGAGCAAACTTCAAAGAAATTTCTAATTTTTGTTGCAAAAATCAGACTCAAAGATTTTATGCACGTCTATGTAGTCATGTAACCACAATCATATGATTCACATTGTCCAGTAACGTGAATCTATTCATTAAGCAGAGAAATGTGAACCGAAGTTAGGCAGTAAGAACATAGATATGGATTTGGTCGAAGGTTGACTAATCTGAACATTACACTTGTGGGCATTTTTGGTCAATATCACAATTTTATTTATCTTTTTTTTTTTTTCTTGGTAACGGGGAACTAGCCGCTACCCTTCGGATGCGCACAGGGTAAACCCTCACGCCAGGGGTGGATTTAAGGGAGGACTGGGCTGGGCTGTAGCCCTGTCCCCTCTCCAACCCACTTAATGTTTTTTAGGGCCCAAAAAAAAATAATTTTTTGATTAAAATTTTTTTTTTGTGTAAATTTATATATTTTTTTTTACATGTTAGCCCATCTTGTTATGTATTAACCCAGCTTATAGTTCAATTCTGACTCCGTCCCTCAAGCTGATATAGCAGCCTGCAAATCACACCAACTAGGCAAGCCGGTGCGACAGGCTCAACTGAGAAAGTGTTGGTTGGGGGAATCGAATTCGTGACCAAAAACTTCTGCCCTCACCTACTCCACAAACTCAGCCAACCCATGAGGGGGCCACTATTTTATTTATCTTAATGTGACTTTTCTTCGTGTAGAATGGAATTCAGCGTCAATGGGGCTGTCAATCTAAATTTCCATTTCTACACCTAAATTTCCATTCGCACTAAAATTCTTTCTCTGATCATTAAAACATCTAAGAATAACAATATCCAAATTAAAATATATTGACTGGTGTGACACATTTGTTACGCTACAATTTGGCTTTATGGACCAAAAACTAAACCAACCATAGAGAAAGCTCTTAAGAGTTTAATACAGAAAATGTAAACTATAGGTAGATTTTCATTGACAGTAACAGAAGCACCGTAAAATAAATACCAGATTTAGTGATCTTCAGGATCTCCAACTTGACTGGCGCCATTGTGAAGAGCCAGCCATTTGCCGTCCTGATGCATTCGGTCTCACGTGGGTTCTGTTTGCCCTATTATAACTTGACCTTGACCCCAACCTTGACCTTGATCTTGTCGGTGTGTATCTCCTGAGATAAGTTGACCTCGAACTTGCCGGGGTATTTCCTTCATTATTACTTGATCTTGAACTTGGGGGAACATTTTCCCTATTATAATTTAATCTAGACCTTGAACCTGTTGAGCTGTTTCCACTGAGATCACTTGACCTTAGACTCAGCCGTCTCCAGTCAAGTACTCTGTCATTACTTGTGGTCACTTCTATCTCAGGAAAAGCTGGATGCTCAAGGAATGAGAAAGAGAACTCAACCTCTAGATCCGTAAATATATTATTATCTTCATTCAATTCACCCTCGTTATCAAACAGTCCACTTGGGAAGTCAAAGAAATTCCAATCACTCCCCAGACCATCTTCACCCCATTCATCCCAGCTAGGCAATTCGTCCAAGTCACCCCTGTCATATTCGAAATCTGGCTGGTACATACTAAGTGCATCCTCAAGGTCCCTTTGTCGCTCCAACCTCATCCATTCAGATTGCCGCTGGGTGTTGGTCTCTGACGGCCGAACAGAGGGATGCTCAAGCTTGGCATGCTTCCTTAGATCGGAATAATTTCCACTGAAGTTACAATTTTCTAAAGAACAACTCCTCAGTTTGGAGTTCATGAACCTTCGTGCAGGCTCCATAGCAAGCCATCCAGTGATCTGTCCCCGGCAAAGGGGGCAGATAAAAACATGTTGCTGTCCCTCGAGGAAATTTATCGGCCTAGTTAATGTTTGGTCCCCTATGTGTCTGCGGGGTGAGGTCATCAGTGCTGAGTCATCTTCTTGTGGAGTTTCCACTAGTGGAGTTGGTGATAATGCACTAGATGACTTGCGAAACTGACCAAAGCAATTTGAATGTCGAGAACTTGTGTCACACATGTATGGTCGACAGCCTTTATCGTGGGAAGAACATAGTAATAAGACAGCATTGTGTGGATGCTCCATACAAATGGGGCATCTAGCTTCTTCCCATTCTGCTTCATCACCAACACGAGGCAAATATCTTTCTGACTCGGTAGAATCAGAAATCTTCGAGCTGCCAGCGCAAGGAGATACCCCAGACTGGTCAAAAGATGAGGAATTCATCCTTCTATCTTTTGACATTTGAGATTTTAACAAAATCAATGTGCCAAGACTGCTTCCATATATCCAATCACAATTTCATGATGACGTTAGTTATCATATATTTAACGGTACATGTACAAGTTAACAATATAAGATTTTAACAAGTTAACCAATTCAGTACTTAAAAAAAAACCACATCAATTCATATAAAAAATCAATTTTCTTGTCTTAAAATCCAGTTCATCAACCCCTCATAATTCTGAATACAACAATTCTCTGATAATTTTAAAGTTTAAACACAATACAGAAAAGTACATGTGGCATTACAAATAAGAGAAATTGTGAGATTTTGAATTTATTCTTGAGCAGTTAATCATTAATTACTATCTCAAATTTTTCTACACAAGCCAATCAGGCAAGTTTATAGAATTTAACAGTTTAAGCCTAAAATTTCCCAAGATCTTTAACCGACAATACATGTATAATGATTATTGTTTTCATCTAGCAATTGAAAAAGTCAAGCACAACCACGACAGAGACAACCAATCAAAATCTTAACTCATCAGAAAACAACCACACCATACCTTCATAAACTAAATCTAAAAAAGGCGAAACATAAAAAAATTCGGAAAAATATACCTCTTTATTACAAAAATTTATATAATCACCATTTACACCATAATTAATTATCTGAAGCCGAAGAAACGAGCTAAACAATCTCCAACAGCCAAAATTTTAATCGAAGCATAATTTCCATACATCAATATTTTGACATCAAAACTTATGATCATAAGATTAAAATTCTTGAAACTAGTTGAATTATACGGACCTGAGACCAGATCCGTTTCAGTGGAAGCGAAGCAGGGGATTTTGTATTAGAAGATTGAGTAGCGGCAGAGAATTTCCAAGAGTGAGCACTGGAGCAAAATGAAAGAAGGAAACGCGGTGGTTATATTTATATTGAGACTGACAGTGTAAAATTACATAAAAGACCCTCTTACTGTGGATCCATTCAAAGTCATATTAGATGGGCTTGGCAGTAACCCGAATTCAGTAGGTTCTTCGGAATTTTGTTACAAATAATAATAATAATATGGATTAATTTCTACAATAATGCTATGGTGACAATTTTTTTTTGATATAATGAATGATCGACACTCATATTGGCGGGCTCGCTTCTTTTTTGAACTTTTTTATTCATGCGGGGTTCATGCGCTGTAAGAAGATGTCAACCATTATGTCAAACAAAATTTTGAAAAAGTAGTTTAATTGTAATTTCTATTCGTGGTCCTTGTGATTGTACCTTAACTCACTTTGTAATTGGGATATCACATTAAATGATGATGTAATCTACTTTGTCAGTTTTTTTTAACATCTTGGATGACAGAATGAGGTGTGGTAACCAATGATTGGATGACAGAGTTAACTGTTTTAATTGGCCAATAATATATTGTCACGTGTCATTATGCCAAGGAAGGTGTCAAAATTAAGTTATTATGCCTTAATTTGTTTTAATTGGATTTCTATACCTTTTTTTTTTTTTTTACAAGGTGTCCGGGCTTGCGTCCGACTAGATCCTTGTCCCTGAACCTCCGGCCCCTCAGCAGCTCAGGGAGGTAAATCGCAGGATGTGCCCTTGTTGGCTCCCAGGTTCCCACAACTCATTTGGACTCCTTCCGCAAAGAGAGCTCTCCTCACTGGGCGTTTGTTCAACCAAATGGCTTCCCCTCCATTTTAGCACCCAGTGTTAACTCCAGGAATCGAACTCTCCACCCTTGCTTCCAGCGTCCCAGCGAAGTGATTGTTCCACCAACTCGGATGTGCCCTGGGGGGCGGATTTCTATACTTTAATTTGATGTAAGATGAGTTAATGTATTTTAATCTGTCATGATATAAATCACTTCGTTCATTCATCACTATATCTAATGTTAAAATTGACAAAGCTTAAATACTAAGAGTATCTCCAAGAAATTTTTAAAAAAATAATACACTCTCTATTTTAAAGAGCCTATTTTTAAAATCATATCTTTAAAAGCATACTCCAATAGACTCTTTGAATTAACATTTTTAATTTAGAGAATAAGTTTAATTCTCTCTAAAATTAAATGCATTCATAGTGTTTTTTTTTAATGTAGGAAAATAATAAAATAATTTTAAAAAGTTAGTTAAAATAATAAATATTTTTGGAAATAATAAAATTAAGTGTTAAATATAAAGAGTTGTTGGAGAACTTAAACATTTTAACTCTCTAAATTCATAAATATTCTCCAAATAATAGAATATGCTTTTTAAAAATAATGATTCTATTAAAGGTGCTCATTTCCAAAAGACTTTTTTTAAATGATATACTCTCTATTTTAAAGAGTCGATCTTTAAAATCATACTCTAATATACTCTTTAAATTAACATTTTAATTTAAAGAGTGATTTTGTCTTTCCAAATTTGGAAAACCAAACTCATCCTTTATAATTAAATACATTTGAATTGTATCAATTTTTAATGTAGGAAAATAATAAAATAATTTAAAGAAAAGCTAGTCAAAATAAAATATAGAGAAAAATAATAAATATTTTTTGGGAATAGTATAATTAAGTGTTAATGTTGAACAATCGACTTCTAATTGGTGGATTTTTCGGGCTCAGTATACTAATCTCAACCTTACAACACCCAAGCAAATAACGACCCAAACCTCCAATCCTTCTTTCACACTCCGGTTGCTTTACCTTGTACCCACTAAGGACACAATAAGGATGGTGTTTTTCAGCCACAAAGGCTATGAAGAAGCAAGAAGAAAAAAGAAAACCAACCGAGATAGAGCACAAAACAAAAGAGGCAAAGAGTTTTCTTCCAAAGCCAGGAAACACATGTGAGAGATAGAAGACTAAGGGGCAAGCTTATATAGTTTATGTTAGGTCAAAATTGTGTAGGCCAAGTCCAATACGAATACCGGTAAATGGGCTAACAAAATAAGCCGTCCAATGAGTGTGAAAGTTGGGCCATGAGTAATACTAATTAATTAGGTTGCTTCCTATGGTCTAAATAGTTTTAGGATTGGGTTCTCATTCTTAGGTGTCGATAATTAATTTATCCAACATCGATTAAACATCATCGCCCGAGATTATTTGATATCAAAAAACCCAATAATCTTCACATTGATGCTCAATAATCTGCAAGCAACCAAAACACAAAGTTTAAACTTGCATAATCAAGGTAATCCAATAAAATTAGTATCATAGACCTTACCTCGTGTTTCGTTCGAAACACACATCATAACTGCTCCATGTACTCACCGGAGTTAAGGTCCAAAAAACACCCAAATAGGGACAAGTATCACGGTAAACAAATCATCATGCGATGAAGATATTATATAGGATACTACACAGATCTTTTAAGAAAATCATGTTTACATAGAACAACAAATTAACACTAAGTTAATTAGCACACGGTCAAACACAAATGCAATAAATGCATAAATGACCTTATGAAAAAATCTCACCATACTTATCCTATCCCATTATGTGTTACTCCCACCTCGAGAACACATATCTCCTCTCATCGCTCACCATGCTCACTAAACAGACCACTCAACTCGTGTCTAACTGGCAAGTCACAATAGATCCTAAGTTCTCGGGATAATCCTCTATCACCACATCACTTCTCCGAATCTACGTGGATAATGAGCCTCCACCTTACAGAAGTGATAGAAGTGTCTATCTCACACTCCACCTGTACAGGGTCTCTTTCACAGATAAAGGATTCTACACATTTGATCACACCTCCACTCGTGATTCAAATGTCACACTCTACATCTTCCGGTACAAATCACCATGTACCTTTAGGCATCTATACTCCACCTTACCAAAAGACATCTAACACACTGCTAATGCATCCTAACCCCAACACCAAGTAATTTCATTACCTCAAATTCATGCAAACACACATATCAAACAAATTGAAATGCAACATATAATCATGCAACAAATTAGGCAATCACACACAGATGCATATGCAGTGACTAGCTTTACTCTCTCAATAAACCTCACTGGGGTCATAGCTCAACCCCTCAACCACATTCATCTCACCTCTTATCTTACCCTTCAGCCTATCCTTCTTATTGGGATAGTCCCTAATAAAGTGTCCAAATTTACCGCAACTGTAACACTGTCTACCACTAAACTTGTTCCATCCCTTGCCCTTTATCTTACCACTTTCATTACTTGAGTCACTACTCGAGTCACCACTATTTTGAGTTCTACCCAAATTTATTTGCTTAAACTTCATCCTACTTATCATGTGTAACTCACCAATCTTCTTATCTTCATTTTCAGCCTTAATTTCCATCTCTTTACTCCTAAGAGACTATATGACAATTTTAGGTGTTGACGTATCCCTACCATACTTAATGACATTTTTAACTTCTTTATATGGCTCAGGCATGGAATTAAGCAGGATAATAACCTTATATGTTTCAGATACGGCTTTTTCACAATTATCAATATCTTGGACAAGTTCATTGAAAACATCCAGATTGTCGTCAAGATCCTTTGAATGATCTATTTTAAAACTGAAGAAACGCTCAAGGAGATCAAGTTTATTGGGAATGGATTTAAGCAAATACATATCTTCCAACTTTTTTCAAATTTTTTTTGTAGTTTTCAATTTTCTTACTTTTCTCAAAATAGCGTTAGACGGGTGTAAAATGATTGAGGTATAAGCAAGCTCATTGGCTGTTTCTTTTTATTCTTTTGAAAAATTAGCTGAGAAATTACCTTCAATGACTTTTGAAACTTTTTGTTGGACCAAAATACATTTTATTTTTTGTTATCAAATTGAAAAATCACATTTTCCATTAAAAATACCAACTTCGAAATGCGAAGACATTTTTTGAAAAAACGAAGCAATCAAATGCACGAATAGGTCACACAAAGTAAACCTACGACCGTAATATACATCGTCCCAGATTTCCAGGGTTTCGTAAAACTCGCGGTCTCAGATCAAGGGAACGATTGAACGGGTAAGGTCTAGGTATTCGAACGGAAGTAACAACATAGAGGAATTTACGATACAACTAAATAGGTATATCCAATCAATGAAATTTCACGACAATTTTAGCATAAAGTACAATACGTTAATTTATCCAAAATTAAGTACTCAATCACAAAAAATTAAGAGCAAGTAATTCTAATTTCTAACACAAGCAACGACAACCTCCAATCCTAACAATCACCTCACACGATGATCTGCTAATACTGAAATTTAAATTGAGATAAGCCAATATACCGTAGCGAACCTATATGAGTCCGTAATTTACGAGAGATGCGAATTTATCACTTTAGGACGACCACTATTCGTCTTAAAGTCTCTGAAAACTGTAGCAACGAAGAAATCACGATCGAGTCTAGAACGCCTGAAGAACAACGCTGTCCAGATTCTACTGTAGGCCCTGAAACATAAAATTTTCAACACAAAAAATTGTCAGAAATAACGTAAGGAAGAAACTACCTGAAGGGACCTCCTCCTGCAGGCACCCGTACACGCCTTTGTCGAACGCTCCACCCACTGCCATCGCCAGCTGCAGTCGCCCAGATGCCTCGGCCACCCAACACCGCCTCCACATGCAGATCACGATTCAGCCTCCATTTCACTAAAAGACGTCTGGATCGCTGGGAAACTAGGCTTACAGGTTTTATTTTTTAGTGCAAAAATTGGACAGTAGTTTATGCCAATTTCTGCCGATTTTCTTGTCAAATTTTGGCCAAAAATTCCACCCCAACTTCGCTCTGATACCAAATGTTGAATAATTGACTTCCAATTGGTGAGTTTTTCGGGGTCAGTATACCAATCTCAACCTTACAACACCCCCAAGCAAAGCACGACCTAAACCTCCAATCTTTCTTCCATACTCTGGTTACTTTACCTTGTACCCACTAAAGACACAATAGGGA